TTCTTTACTGAAATGGGAAAGTGGCAAAGTTAATGGGACATCCAAAAAAGGAAAGTTGGCAAAGTTATAAGGGACGGAGGGAGTACAATATATGATTGCTCAAAGTTTAAAAAAAACTGTCCAAAGAAGGTCAAATGTGACTTATCTTTGTGGGGCAGAGGTAGTAAATGAACTCCGATATAATTTATGGATAATGATTAGATTTAAAACATTTTTCTAAATCTCATTTAAGCAAAACTTGTATATGTTCTAACAAGTAATATTGGTTGACATGCTAAAGGTAGTACCTAATGTTTGCCTGTGTCAAGGATGATAGTTCCATCTTAGCTTTCTCAGCCGTCTCTGTTAGACGCTGAAGAGCTTGTTTGTCCTTTAGCAGATCTATACCTTCATCCCTCTTGAAATCAGCAGCAAGCCAATCCACAACTCTCTGCATTAAAAGAAAAACAGATAAATTAGTTACATATAATCTAGAAAAGTATCAAGCAAAACAGGTAGATGGAAATATGAAGGCAGACCTTATCGAAATCATCACCACCGAGATGAGTGTCTCCAGAAGTAGATAGCACCTCAAACACACCATCACCCACCTCAAGAACTTCATTGCAAAGGGGACAAAACAGGAAAAAATGTCATTATAATAATCCATGAACAATATAATGTGTGCTAAAAGGAGAATAAAAATAGGAACAATAAAATCAAAATACTCTGTGGTCCTAATATTAGACACATTATAAGATGAGTAAATGGTCCTTTCATAAGGCATTGTTTATTCTTATAAACTATTTATTGTGTCTTTATATTGTATTCTGATCAATATCGTGGCCATGTTTATCTTTTTTTGCAGAATTGACTTGCGAGGAACAATAAAGAGGGCAGCCCGGTGCACATTGGCGTCCCCGCAAGGCGAGGGTCTGGGGAAGGCTCCCACCACAAGGGTGTATAAGGAGCAAGCATTCCCTTAACATTTTGACATGAGGCCGCTCTCAAAATATGAAGCCGTGGCCTCTCAGTGACATAGCAACACCGTAGGCAGTGCGCCAAGGCTCCCCTTCTAGTTACAAGGAACAATAAAAGGGGATAGTAAAATTGGAATATCATACTTTTAAGTATAGAAAATTATAGTTTACTTGGTTTGTGTGATTTAGTTAATTGTGCCTTGTAATAAGGTCTAGAGGGAGTAAAAGAAATCCCTGAACAACATGAAACCAAGCTACAGATGAAAATTAAACAGAGAAAAGAAATAGATTGATACCTGATACGTCAAAAGTACCACCGCCAAGATCAAATACCAATATGGTTTCATTATTTTTCTTTTCAAACCCATATGCCAAAGCAGCAGCAGTGGGTTCATTTATAATACGAAGAACCTCAAGTCCAGCAATACGACCAGCATCCTTAGTAGCTGTTCTTTGAGAATCATTGAAGTACGCAGGAACAGTGACGACAGCCTTTGTGACTTTGTCATTCAAAAACTTGGAAGCATCATCAACAAGCTTTCTCAGGACCTGTAGCAAATATTCATAAATGTTAAAATATTAGTGTACAAGAATGAACCTTTAATACTATTTGCTCCAGCCATCAAATATTCAACATGCATTGCACAAGAATGCACCTTAAATCTCAATTTTAATGTTCAAAATTACATCCAGGAGAATCTTTATCAGGGTATGCCACTTTATATTCACTTGAACAAGTAGCAAAGCCACAAGGTAGATAATTACAAATGCAGACGCATGAAATCCACATTATTAGAGGAAGTAGACGATGTGATTATACCTGAGCAGAGATTTCTTCAGCGGCAAATTGTTTGCCAATAGACGGACACTCAAGCTTCACGTTTCCATTCTCATCTTTTAATACATGATAGGAAACCTGCTTAGACTCCTCATCCACTTCCGACATCCTCCTCCCAATAAACCTTTTCACCGAGAAAAAAGTGTTCTCCGGATTAACAACAGCCTGGCGCTTAGCAATCTGCCCGACAAGCCTGTCCCCGTTTTTAGTGTACGCCACCACCGAAGGAGTGGTCCGCTGCCCTTCGGCGTTCGTCACAATAGTCGGCTTTCCGCCTTCCATGGCAGCCACAGCCGAATTAGTCGTCCCGAGGTCAATCCCGACCACTTTCTCGGCAACAACCCGCAACGGAGTGATAGTTGCATTCCTGCGCCGGAAGTTGCCCCTCGTGAGCTTGGATCCGAACGAAAACGTTCTGTTGTTTAAGCCCTGTCCCAAAAACACTTTCCTGAACGAAGTCCTGCTCGAAGAGGACTGGTTGTTGGTGAAATAAGTAGCTCCGAGAGCGTGAACTTGAGCTGCTGAAGACGCCATGGATTAAACGCTGAGTTACAGGGTATCTAACTGTGGCTTATTGCGTTTGAAGAGAGAGCTTGGATAGGGGCGGCAGACGGAGAAAACAAAACCCTGGCCGGAGAAAGGAGGGGAAGAGATAAGGGGAGAAGAGGAGGAGAGCGAGGGCTACTTAATCAATCACACAGTTACCGAGTTCACGTGAACCAACGGTTTATGTTCTTCGTTTTAAAATGTGTGGGCCGAAAGGGTGCGATGGCCTATAATACATACAACACAGATGGTTTACTATCCCTTTGGGCCGCTCAACATGAGAAGTAGTGAAATGTTTTATACTTTCATGTTTTGACTTGTAATTTTTTATAGTATCTCTATCTCACTAGTGTAAGAACATGATGAGGTGGTATGATATTCAAGAAAAATTTATATGATTGATATTGAAATGATAAAGTAAAAATTATTAAAATCTACATAAATTTTACTAAATTTGATATGGAACAATTTTAGTGGGACGAACCGAAAAAGAAAGATGAGACAAATCTTATCCGGGAGAGAGTATATAATAATCCAATTGCTCATTGGGGCATATTAATTTGTGCTCGTTATTAATTCGTAGTAGGATGATGGTTTATTTGAATTTAATTAGCTTTGGTGTTATATTATGATGACTTGAGATTTCATTTTAAAAAGGTGAATCTAATAAGAAAAATCATATATCATTATTTTTAAACATGATCTTCATGACATAATGCACTGTTTATAATTAAAGTTTATGCATACATAAATACAACTTTGTAGGCTGTAGCTTACAGTTTTAATTTTTAAAATTCATGTGGCATTTAATATACTTGTGTACCTTGTCACTTTTTGAAATTCATATGGCTTTTAATATCATTTTCTTCCAATAATTCAACCTAGTTCTATTACATATCAAAGATTAATATGCATAATTAGTGAGTGATTTATGTTTTCATGTCTTTATATTATGGGGTAGTTTTATATTCTTGTTTATGCCTCATTGTCTCATTGACTTGTTATTCCCAAGATAAATCCACTGTAAGATGAGTATGAGAAATCATTGAACATAACCACATATTTATTATAATGTTATTACGACTCTCAAGCTTAAAGAACATTTTATATACACGATGCTACATTACTTCATACTTCATATAAAACATTACATGCATAAAAAGAAATTTTTCTTTTTTGTATGTAGGTTTATATAATTTTTTAAAAATTTAAAATCGACACCACTGAATAAAATATGTTTGTCCCTGTATCAACAATCAATCTAACAATATATGATAGAGAAGAGAAGAACGGAGCTTGATTCAATACCAAACAAAGATTTCGCAATACAGAATATGGGTATCGAAAACAAAACTATCGGCTCTCTCTCTCTCTCACTAGAATGTTATGCACTCAGAATAATCTGTGTAAAAAGCCTCTTTGCACATTCACTTAAAGGCAATATTTATATGCCTAGGGAATGTGTGATGTGACCTAAGCATGATTGGGCTCTTTTAATGATTGGGCCCAATAACACACTTTACACACTTCCTAAGAAAGCTAGTCTAATAATAGCTGAAATATCTAGACAAAATAGCTACACAAATACAAAGATATTTATCAGGATTGGACACCAGAAAAAGTCCTAACAAAATAATCTACATATAGTTATATGTAATCTTTCAAAAAATTAGAAGTTACACCACCATTTAAGAAATACAAATTGTTCAATTTAGGACCAAAACATATAGAAAGTTCAAAAATAGGACTAAGTATGTTTATTTTTATTCTCCAAATAAGACTTATTTAGTCTTTTTAAAAGAATAACTTGATTAAAACTTCTTAAAATATGAGTTATTGTGTCTTGTTTTGGGAATAAAATATTAGTAGTACTATTTATGAATCTTATCCATGTTATAGAATTATTTAGAGAATTTTTTAAAAAATTGTTGGGGTCAATGTATATATTTTAAAAGTAGAAACAATAACTTAAAAAAATGAAAAGTCACTCCACTCCAAAAAGAAAAGTTTGGGCGGCACAACTCTTACTCAAACAATTCAACTCCAAATCATTGCAAGGAAAGGGGTGAAATCACAGAAGAACCGATTGCACAATCGAATGGAAGGTGCTTTAATGAACGATGCCTTAGTTACTTTTATTATATTGAAAAGGATATATATAAAAGTGTTAACAAAGAAAAAATTGCACAACATTTTAAACACATGAAAATGCGCCATGAGTAGTTGTGAATTAGCACTTTAATTTTATGAATGATATTTTTTGCTATTTTGCTTTATAGAGGTATGAGGAATGATTTGGTCAGTCCGGATTGACGGGAGCCACCATCCGGCCAAGCCTGTTTGAGAGATTTTCGGGTCAAGATTTTTTATAAAATTTTGTGATCTTTATGAAGTGTAGAACATCCTCACAAAATTTTATCCAAAACTTTGACTCAGAAGTCAATAAAATAAATTATTGAAAAATGTGGTGCTTTATATATACACTATTTTTACATATAATTTTTCCTTTATTTTATTCATAAAATATATTTTAAAAATAATTTTTTCTTAAATCAGCAGAATCAGTCAATGCAGCCACTTCAACCAAAACTTCATACATTGCAACAGAATCAACCAAACCAGCCGATTTTTGTGCTATCAAACGGGCTCTAAATATGCTATTATGCCTTTTTGGTTGCCCAAACCAGCCTTTGTGCCTTTTTGGTTGCCCAATTATAAAAAGGTCAACTCACGCCCTGAACTTGATAAAAATCTAATTTTATTGCTCGCAAGTAACTCACATAGGCTAGGGTCTCAAATTACTATCAATCGTTTATCAAATATGGAAGTTAAATTGTAAGATAAGTCCCTGATTCCAGTCATGAAAATGAAGACACATATCATGTAGTGGAATGCACAAAAGTATGAGCCTTTTGATGGAAAACTTGTTAAATCGATAATTATCAATTCAGAACCTGAAAGATAAAATGTATTGATACAAGATTGCTATCAATCTATCAATCTAAAGTCATAGATTGCTTGTACCTTGTTATGGGGAGCAATTCACACCTTATTGGAAATGCTCTAAACCCCTATAGACCCTTTTGAAAGGGAACGTTTGTTCACCTCATTGATTTTATCATTTTTATGCCTAATTTCATCCTTTCCCGCAAGTGCTAAGTTGCTTTCCGTCATTTGCAATGAAGTCAAAGACTCACTATTTTTTGAATTAAAAATATGACAGAATGAAGCCATATGACCTACTAAACTGTCAGCGCTTATTTTTTATGAGACATCAGTCAGTCCATGCAATTTTTGACACAAAGTTAACTATTGGTTACATGGAAACAATCTATGTGTGCTTTAATATAGAGGTAAGACTGCACATATCCAACCTCCCTTATTCGGGGCCTTTGCGACACGGGGTGATGATGATGATGAGTAAGTGCTAAGATGCAATTTAGTACTCCCTTCGTCCCATTTATATTGTCCTGTTTTACCTTTTCGGGAAGTCCCACTTAAATTGTCTCATATCATATTTGACAAAGTTTGTGTGACTCCAAATCATTCTTACTTTATTCTTACTTTATCAATTAATATCAACCACACAAATAGGGCTGGACTCGGGCCGGGCCAACCGGCCCGGAACCAGACCGGCCCGCTACTGTGCGGGCCCGGACCGGCCCAGTCAACCGGTTGGTGCACCGGTTTGGGCCACCCGGCCCGGTGGGATGGCGGTCCGGGCTCGGGCCCTGATTTTGGTGAACCGGCCCGGCCGGTTCGGGCCTGGTCCGGGCTGAATTTTAATTTTTTTTTTTTTTTTTTTTTGAAATTTTTTTAAGTTTTGGGTTGGATTAGGTATTTTGGGCCATTTGAGGTGGTTTGGGGTGGTTTGGGGTTGAGGGGGAGGGGTAGGGGGTTATAAAGGAGAACCAAAAAAAATATATATATACCGGTTGGCCCGGCCCGGCTTGGCCCGGAACCGCCCACCGGCGGTTCGGGCCCGGGCCCTAGTTTTCTGGCCCGAGGCCCGGCCGGGCCCAGGCCCGAACCGGCCCGAGTCCACCCATACACACAAACTCACTTTTCTTAATAACCGTGTCACCCTCTTCCGTCCCAATATAAATGGGACGGAGGTAGTATTATAATTAAAGAGAGATTGTAAAATTATAATAAAACTAATGGTTTTTCTAAATTTCACTCAATTTCTACTACGGCAGCATCCCTCTTGTAGGAACTAAAAGAGCAACGAAAAAACAAAAAGCACAGCATATACATAGCAAGTACAAAATGTTAAATATAGATTTACATGTATGATGTATCTATCGTTTATGTGATTCATTAATAAGAAAATTCAAATACCCCTATCCAACATCCCGACTCCCTTCTTCCCTTAAAAATAAAGCATAAAGCTTCAAATATCACAGCATTTGCAGCACCAAAAGGGGGCATGAGCTATGTTTGAATGGCCAGGAAGCTGATAATACACGTATAAAAGAAAAGCCGCAAGTAAGATGACGTCATAAAAAAGTAGCAATATACCTTGTGTGCATATATATCTATGTTCAAGTCGAGAGAATGTGATAGGAAAATATACAGTCAGCTAGTAATAAGAAGACAATACAGAAAACCCGAAACAAACTGCTCTCTCTTCATTCGGCACAACTCTCCAGTGTTTCGCTGCTGATAACAAACCAGTTGATGAGGCTGCTAAAGCTTAAGAACAAGTGATGGGGGAAGTGAAACTTTTCATGCTTATAATCAGTTCTGTCTACGAATGTGTTCTGGAATGAGTCGATGAATAGTTTCCGGAGACAAGTCAGAGAGCTCTATAATAAAGCATATGAACAGATTTGTTAATGGATGGACACAAAGTTATTTTGAGAAAACATATATACTACGTATATAATACCCATAACCCATTTAGTAGCAAAGATATGCTAACGCAGTTCAGTTCCTGAATCTAGTGATCATCTCCACAATTTATAGCAATATCTAAGGGGGTGAGATTCCTATGTAATTAGGTAGGGCAACTCGCATAAAGTGTCACTCTGTGTGTGTCCATGAAATTTTAGGTTCTTTTGTCGAATAGATGAGAAATTTGGAGTAAGAAAAAATGTGTTCAAACTCAATAAATCAATTTAAGATAGCTGTTCAACTCTTTATATTAAAAAAATACTTCTTAATATATGAAGTATATGAAGACTAAAAAATACTTCCTAAAACCTAATGTATAACTTTATGAAGACCTGTAATCAAATTTGATTTTCATTTGTATTTTCAATGTAAAACCAAGCATTCATTACTTCTTTCGTTGGCAACTTTTCCCCTTTACCTATCATGTTCTGTATTTCTAACATGGCCTTGGCCGTTAGTGTTAACTACTTTTAGGCAACTGACTAAATTTCATTCGGGCCACAAGTCCAACTTACTCAGAAGAGATAGTGGAGCAAATAATAACAGTAATAATAATAAAACACGAAAAATCAAAAGAAATGACCTTGAGAGTTGAAATTGAAGAGCGGTGGAAGAGGGAGGGAATTAGGGAGGCGGGTATGCGGGTCTCTCAGTTCATTAAAAAAAGGATGAAGACAAGCCTCCAACTGCATTACAAACCAAAGTAACAAATCCATCACTAAGTAAATTAGTACACCATATTCAGGACCGAATAATGATAATATTAAACTGCATACAAAGGCAAACTTACAGCAGTGCATCTCAAATGTGGAGAGTACTGGAAAAAACGATAAACCAGATCAAATGCATCTGGAGGTAACTGTTTTTGGAAAATCTGCAAGGTTCGTGATCAACAAGTAACAGGCATTATATAAGGTGTTTAGGATACACATCATGTTTCTCACTTTCTTGTACTTTGATGCCATAGAACAAGTGGGAAAAGAAAATATTAAGAAATTCTCAAGTACCTTGTGCAATGGATGAGGTTTTATCTGTGGAAATTTGAATTCAGTATAATTTGGGTTCATGCACTTCATCTCCTCTCTAGTAGGTGTTCCCAATACCTGTATAGTAAATTTACAGAAGTAAATAGGAGAAAGAATAATAAGAGCCATCTATTCAAGCCATTTCAGCAGAAAAAGAAGTTAATCCTGCGCTACTTTCTTAGCACTACTTTTTCCATTATTAACTGATTCAGTCAAGGAACCAGTCAAAAGTCTGCAGTATCTAACAGAAATAGTACCCACCTTTATGATCTCTACTAATTGGTCAACCCCACTCTCTCCAGGAAATAAAGGCTGTAAAAGATTGATTAGAAAAGAAATTTAATGGTTAAAAAGTATGGAACTATAAATACAAATAGACTGTTAGAATTACCTTTCCCAGAAGTAATTCTGCCATGACACATCCCGTAGACCAGATGTCAACAGCTGTTGTATATTCAGAGGCACCAAAAATGAGCTCGGGAGCACGATAATGTCGTGAACAAATGTATGACACATTGGGTTCTCCTTCCACCTGATATATGTTAGAATATAACTACTTTAGAGACACTAACAATGAAATTTTACAAAGCCACGCTCCAAAACTAGAATGATGTTCAGCTGTCACACTTTTTTGTCCGTTTTGATATCTACGGAATGCAGCTTTCAAGAAGTTCCTTAAATTAAGTACTTACCAAAACTTTTGCACTTCCAAAATCACAAATTTTCAGCTGATGCGTATGTGGGTTCACCTGGTTGTTAAAGGACTACATCAGCTCATTTTTCACATTTTTCATAAGTTAGAAAAAGTAAAATGCTCAACTTCATTCATACGAACAAACATAATGAAGTATTCTAACCAACAAATTTTGAGGCTTAATGTCCCGGTGGCAAATGCCAATACATTTATGGATATAAGCCAGTGCCCTGCATATCTGCACACATATAGAGATGAATCTTGAGAGATATACTAAAGGAAGCTTATAATTTTTTCAGATTCAGTACAAATATAATCAAGATCCTGGTGGTATAAAATTTTGACACATTCTTTTCTCTACAGAGAGGAGGGAGGTGATAATAAAGTGTAGGCTGTAGTAATTATGTTGAATAAAAACAATGGCCACGTATTTGTTAATTTACAATGTTGGGGATGTTAAGTCATCCCACATCGAAAAATATATACTGATGAAGAGTAATTCCACAAGCCCATAGTATCATCATATACATTTGAACTCACATATAAGACCCTTGGCAGCTCCACCCATCACTTTGACCTTTTATTAGGCAATCTCAAGTACAGATATGATAGCATAGCTAATTTAATTTAGCTCAAGCAAGCAAGCAATCCAACAAAGACTTGAAAGCGAAGAAACGGATTTCAAGATTTATTTTCTTAAGCCATCATACTTCGGCAAAATATAAACATACAAAGTCACACATAAGACCTTGGGCCACTCCAACCATTCATTGGCCTTTTTAGATGGAAGTACAGAACCCCGACTTCATAGGAGTCGCACAAGGCAGTTGAAATAGGAAGATGATAATGTGCAGTTCTTTCAAAAATAATGTAGTGGTGACAGAATTATGAGGCAAATCTATTTGGTGATAGAATTACCACACAACTAATTAGGACTAATGCTGGCCATGAACATCGTAGACGAACAAGATTACTCAACAGATACATCCATAGGTTTATAACTAATTTGCAGAAAACACTGAATTTCATGGGCATGCCTGATAGGTATAGAGCTTGACATATATCAATGGCATCCGCTGGTTCATTCTGCTGAACTGCCTAGAAACACGGTTAACGGTTTCAGGGACATATTCAAGGACAAGATTGAGATATAGCTCTTCCTTGTCTGTTGTCGAGAAAAAGGAATGCTTAAGAGCGACAATATTAGGATGGTCTAACATCTGCATTATCTCCAACTCTCGGTTCTTATAGCGCTTATCTTGAAGAACCTTCTTAATCGCAACAGTTTCTCCGGTTTCTCTGTATTTTGCCTGCATTAACCCATTAGGACTGCAGCTATTGTATATAACCGAATGCTAAAGAGAATATTTTATCCAAAACAAATACCAGAGCTTACTTGGAAAACAACACCAAAAGCTCCTGTTCCTATCACACGTTCAGCTTTGTAGCTGACATTCTGTCCAACCCCATATAGACAAGTTAAACTGCATGTAAGATTGGCACAAAGCAACATCCTGGCCACAACAAAAGTACTTTCCTTAGACTAGTTCACAAACCTGCCTGGATCGGCCATTTCGACCACCAATAGTAGTTCGAATAACATGTCCAATTTCTACACCTACACCCTCAATCGTCTCTGGCTCACTATCCTGCGTAATATACTAGTATCAAGTGAGAAAGCAGTAATACCTCACCATTTAGCAATCATATACATAGTATAATACAGCAAAGAAATGGCCATTATGTACTTTGGAATGATTAAGACTAAGAGCATGTTGGTAGGCTAGTGTTTTTGGTTATCATCCTTACCAACCTGCTTTTCACCCAACACTAACTTATTTCACACTGCCAATTTAAAAAACTGTTAATTAAATAAATAAAAAAATGCACATGTTACTGCTTCAGCTGAAGTTGCTGAAATTGATGGTTCAACCATTATGTTGAGAAATTATTATCTTTAATGAATGTAAGCACATATTCTCAAATAACTTAAAATTCAATAGATTCAGCCATTTCAACCACAGTTTGAATAATTTCAGCAAGATAAGCCAATTCAGTTGTTTTGAGCCTTACCAAATACGGAGTAGCCTCTAAGAGTTACACATTTATTTATCTTAATACAGTTAGGATGCACTTCAAAACTAGAGGAAGCTTGTAACACATTCAATCAAGAAGCTCACCCTATCATCATCAAGGTCCACCGTGTCCTTCAATCTCATCTGAAGCATTTCCCTTGCCAACCAATCAAGTGAAGTAGTTGAACTTGTGAATCCATTAGTGTTCTTAGAACTCCCTGCGCCACCATGGCCAGGGCCAGCAGATGCCATGAATATGCTTGGCAAATTGCAAAGCCTCTAGCACTGCCACATGTTCTTATCCATTTAACTATTGTTGATTGGTGAACCCTCCCATCATATGAAAGACCTAATCATGCACAAGATGTAAGACATGTATTCTGGAAGTGAGTGAATAAAAGAAAACCAGACAACTGGTCGACAGCAACATGTCCAGTAACCTATCTATGGAGGCTGATAGGGACCGAGGTAGAGAGATATCATAAATTTAAAGTGAGAAAGTCCCCCGGACCCCAGTTGAATGATTTCAACGTAATGATTCAACATCCCCACAGCAACTGAGGAGGGGATACATATAGACATTCAAAATGAGCGTGGGGCCAAGACGGGCGGCTAAATTGTTACAAAACCAACTCCAAGACCGTGAACCAAAAAGCCCAATCATGGTAGGTCTAGGAGCAGGACCGAGTCTACTTACCATCATATTCTAAGGCTCTAAGCTAGTCGGCTACTCCTTGAGTAATTAACCCACAATTCCAGAATCAAGGTAAAATAAACATTCACGTTATGAACTCATCATAACTGGCGACCTGATCACTAAAAGACACAAAGCTACAATCTTCCTAACTTAAAAGCACAGAAGAAACAAAATTTATACACACTTGAAATGCCAATAACATAAATGGAATATAATAGCACAATATCTGCTACAGTGCTACTGGTCAAATTAAGGGCCTAAACCTAAACATTAGTCCACAAATTGAGCAGCTAATCTGCTCCGGAGCACACCTATTCTGTAAATTAAGCAGCAAATCTGCCCCGGAACCAGATTATAATGCAAAATTCTCAGAGAACAGAAATCACCAACTGACCTCGACGGAGAATTTAATAACTCGGTTCAAACATTCAGCTTCCGCGTTCCAGTAAAGATAGCGTAGATTTAGAGCAGGGCGGAGAATATCTGGAGTAGAAAGAGATACAGAATGAGTTGGCGTATTTGCAAAGATTAGTTTCTACGGCTCTGAGCTAAATCTTTATGAGAACTTTTTATCATGTAAAAAGAATTTTTACATGAATCGTAAACGAGTATACACTTCTTAGTGAATTCATAGACGGAGAATCTATCTCTTGGCTGTATAAAGATGAATAAGTCAACATCAATCGGTCCGTATTCGGAAATGCAGACATTCATGCCTTCCTAGGCGGTTATGAGATTTTGACTTTTGTGTCAGCTTTTCCATCCTCTTTTCGGATCCCACTCTCTCACTTCCAAATAAAGTATTCCCAAATACGTATAGTATTTCACCTTATTATCAACATTATCAATAACTTTATACCCAGTAGTATAAGACTTGTACTAGTAATTTTTTATCTTGCATAAATTATGCAATAGTAAGTTGAAAGTTACGTTTCTATTTATATTACTAACTCTCATTTTGTCAAGTGCAAAGTAAGTGGAAAATAAGAATAGTAAAAATTGTGTGGTTGAGATTTGTGTAGAGGAGAGAGAAATGTGCAGAACCACAAATTAGTTGCTTTAATAAAAAGTGACAAAGTTTTTTAAAACAACCAAAAAGAAAAAGGGAAAATGGAAACTAATAATCCAACCTTTTAGCGGTCTTCTTACAATAATCCAACCTTTTGGTTATTCATGAATAATCCAACTTTTGCACCTCATCTTCATTCATTGGTCCCTGACCGGTTGATGACCTGCTATTCCAAGCTATTTTCTTATCTTTGCAAATCATTATACCATAAATCTCATCTTTCACAAAGATAATATTTTGCAAAGATAAGAAAATAACTCGGAATAGTAGGTCATTAACCGACCAGAGCTCAATGAATGAAGTTGAGGTGCAAAGGTTGGATTATTCATGAATAATCAAAAGGTGGGATTATTGAAAGAAGACCGCTAAAAGGTTGGATTATTAGTTTCCATTTTCCCAAAGAAAAATTTGACAAAGTCCAATATGACGGAAGAAGTATATTTTTTTATTTTCTAAAAATATATTTTAAATAACATTTTTTCATGAATTAGCAAATTCAAACAAAATTTTACACACCAAAATCAATCAATTCAATTGAGACTTCTTAAATTTAAACAGAATCGATCAATTCCAATAACAAAACGGACTCATAGAGTAACTTCTCCTAGAAGGTCAAAATTTTCCACTTGCTTTTGCCATTATAGTGTTATTATTATAAGTAAATAGGTACTATTGAGTATTGACTTATTATTATTTTGACCATTTATTTACCGGGTAATATACATCTTGCTTACTTTAAATAACTATCCATTACGCAGTATAATAAAAATTGTTTGAACATTCGCTCTTAAGTCAAAATAAATGGTCTGATTTACGTAATAGGTGGTGATAATTATATTTTCTTAATTTTATTAAAGTACAAAAATGTACGTAGTATTATACTCCCTCCGTATCACATATATCTTCCCACTTCCAAAGTGGGTGAGATTAAGAATAGTGAAATGAGATATGAATTATTGAGAATATGATGGGAAGATGATGAAATAATGTGATGGAATGAAGGATAAATCCAAAAAAAGTAGGTGTAGTAATGTATTACTTCCTCCGTTCCTTTTTAATTGTAGCAGTCAACATTTCACGTTTGCCAACGCACAAGTTTGGCCATTAATATCTTTCATTCTTTATTAGTAAAAAAATTAAAAAATTCATATTTTGAAAATTTAGAATGAGAATAATTTAACAATATTTTTTAAAAATTTAATTTATTATACATCGATTAATAAAATGTAGTCAAAGTAGAACATGTGAATAGTGCAAAAAGTCTAATGTTGCAACTAAAAGAGAACGGGGGTACTATTTTTTAAATTTTAAAGGGTATGACAGGAAGATTTATAAATGGGAAGATATAAATGTTACATCCAAAAAAGGAAAGTGAGAAGATATGAATGTTACGGAGGGAGTATTTATTTAATACAGTAATATACATCTTAGACAAACAATATTTGACGTTTATACAAAATATAACAAACAATTAACCCTTTTGGATCCCAAATGTCTGAAACACAAATGTTTTTCCTTCACCAATAAACTCATGTTTTCACTCGCTTTGTTCGATGACATCTATTCAACAAGTAGCAAAGAATGAAAAAATAATACTCCGTAAGTACGGAGTATCAAGTATCAACTATACCTTTATACTTCACAATTTACGATGAATTGTTCTGATTTGTACAAAATAATGAATATCTTATTTTTTGTTTGATAACATTGAAATTGACATAATCGACTAAATCAGTTGAAATGTATGATGTTCTGTCTAAAGAGCCTGAATTGGTTGAATCTGCTAAATTGAAAATTTATATTTTATTAATAAATCAAGAAAAATATATGAAAAAATTAGTTTCTTCACCCTATTCAGTCTGAAAAGTAATTTCAACTTTACTAATTTTAATTATTATACAACTAAGGATGTCTTCTTTTGGATTGAAATTTGCTGGTCTGATTTAGTCTCGTCTGATCTGAACAGGCCTGGTAAACGTCTGGTCTCTGTGTATTTTATAACTACTGGTCTGATCTGGTCTTGTCAGATCTGATCTGGTCTAATCTGCAACTGAAAACAATCCAAAAGAAAACTATCTTAAGCCGCAAAACCAAAAAATGTCCTATTTGATGAAGAATGAGACTGGTAAGACCTGTAACACACATTGACGATGATGATAAACTTTTAGAATATTCAAAATTAAAGGGTCAATTATTGACCAAAACACAAGAATGAACTAGCGTTCTCTATTATTACTTTGAAAATATTGCTATGATTGCAAGTTGCAACTTATTAGGGCATCCTCATCCATGAGTTAATTTGAAGATCAATTGGATGATGTGTAAGATTATTTTAAGGATTATCATTGTGAGTGAGAGATTATTTAGTGAGATTATTGAAAAAGAAAATCCGGTATCAAGATTCCAATCCCGGATTATTTTAAGATTGTAGTTATATTACATTTAATGCATGTCCAGAAAAAACTGATTATTTGAGTATTATTGTTGATGAAGAGTTTTAAATTTTGAGATTATTTAAAATTTATTAAATAAATGTGATGTGGCAATGACGTGTTATAAAGAAATCATTTATTTAGATAGCATGAATGGAGATGCTCTTAGAAGTTTAATCCACATAAAAGTGATTTTGTTATTAGCTCTTAAAATAACTATGTAACACTACTACAGTACTACTTCATTCTCTACCATTGCAGTCAACTTAAGCAGTGTTTGCGGTTGCTTCAACAAAGCGCTTTTCAGCTTTTGGCTTAAAAAAAGTTAAAAAGAGTGTTTTCAAATGACATCTTCTGCTTAAATTAATCACTTAAAAGCTAAAAGCTGGAAGCAGGTGGAAGGGTGCTTTACACTGCTTTTCACTTTTTCTATTACACAAAAAGTACTTATTTTACCAAACATTACCAACTTTTACTTTTTCAGAATCACTTTTTTCTCAAACACTACCAACTTTTACTATTAATCACTTTCCCCAAAATCACTTTAAAAAATCACTTTTTTAAAGTTGAAGCAATTGCAAACACTCCCTTAATCCACTTAACAATGTTTTTTCTTTATTTATTAATATTATCACATATATTTCCTTGTTTAAAAAAAAATATTAGAACTCTATTGAAACGTAAAACCCAACTTGAATATGATGCGATACAGCAAAAAACTATGGATTCAAAATGATTTGGATTGAGTGATTGACCACAAGACGATGAATGAGACTTCCATACAAGAGTACTTCACATTAACGGTCGTTATTTAGGGAAATATTAGCTTCGCCTCCACGTTTGCTAATGCAAAAGTTCCAAGTTCTAACCTACAAATAAGTATAATTAATAGACATTAAAAAAACGAGATGAAAAAGTTGAATTATTGTAAATATGTTTTACACTTCGTCAAAAGTGGATTGGTGAAATCAAATAATGAAAATGAAATGTGAAAAAATTCATCAGCAAACCCGAAGAGCTTGACGTGGCAGAAGAAACATTTCAAAACCGGCTAATGCAGTAATGCCCAAAACGTGGCAGAAGAAACATTCATCAGAAGAAACACCCGTTAGAACCGGCTAATGCCCAAATTATTTCTTCACATTTCACCAACCAGGTAAAAATACCAAAAGTCGCATTTTTACGAAAAAATCCACTTCGACCTCTTTAACATTACCTTTCATGGTTAGTAGTAATTGACAAAGGTTCAAATGTTTTGTCGCTACCCGACACGCTACGTGGGATCCAACTGAAAGATTCTCAAAACCAATACGAAATATATAATCCTTATCTAAATACTCCGTACTCCGTAGTAAATAGGGAGTAATTAAGTACTTAGATACTTAATGGGTACTCATAAAAAAGGATTAAAATATACGTAGTATATAATACTTGCCAAAAACTCACATTCGATATCCCAAGATCAAATACCAGTTCTAAATAGAGATCAAATAATTAAGCGTTGCACTTCCAAAACATCAAGCAACTCAACTCAAGCCTAGCTTTAACATATACGCTATTAATTAATAATATCATATATGTGTATAAGTTATTATGTATGTAAAAACTAGGAGTGGCCGCAGAGAGTAATTCAAGCAATCAAATGTTTTGGTATATACATTACGGCAACGAATAGTCCACTTCTCGGGAACCATAGTTATCTCCATATAACCGCCGGTTGAGAGATGACAAGAACTATGATTTCCACGGTTCCGTCAATCAGTGTAGTGGGCGACGGGTTGGAAAACTCTGGTGTTATTTGTCATCGAAATGGCATTCTTATCCGTGGACCGTCATTGGTGTAGCAATTCAAAAATCCCACTGGAAGGTCTTCCATAGCCTTGTCTTTCAGTAAAGTCGTTTCCCCACTCAGAGAGAGACAAAAGAGAGGACAGCCCCCAGCAGATTCATTAGTTTGGTATGGTACGCAATCAGGCGTTTCACTACAATAAAAGGATCCAGAAGACCATTAAAAGTGGGAATCTACTACAAGTACTTGTTTTTTGACTAGACTCAATCACACAAGGAAAAAAGTAAAAGATCCCTGCATTGGGGCCCTGAACTTGCACGTTTCAGTCAAGTGGGCCTCTCATTTCTCATTTGGTGGATGCTGAGCCTTGAACGATACAGTTTAGAGCAGTTCTCCAATAAGTGCTTACACAGAGTTCCACTAGAAGAAAAAGTGTGTGTAGATAGGTGAAGGATCTTGAGGGGCCAATTTGGAAGGATGGATTTTGGAAGGCTAAGTCTGTTCCGATATGCATTTGAACTTTAATAAATTGAAGGAATAAACACATGGGTGATCCTAAAAACTTTTCTAAAACCCTTCATTCTCGTTTTAGAAATATTATGTTCATCAAGGATCCAAAAAATATAAACTCACCCATCTGAAGCCTTTCACCTCCAAAATCAGACCCAAATAGGTAGGTGATTGAGATGTTATACATTTGCATACTATGTTACTCCTTTAAATTCTATAGCATCTCAAATATCACAGCATAGACAAGTCATCCAAAACCTTCCACCCAAATAGATATTAAGGTCATTATAAGGGTCACATTATACTAAAATGTATAGTTTGAGGGCCTTATATCAACCAAATAAGAGTTGATGGGCCTAGAGGAGTCAAATGTGCAAGTTAAGAGTCTTAATATGATTCCTTCCCTTCAAAAAATAAGCATAGATGGAGAGGTAAGAAAATTTTGTGAGTGTGGAACAGGGACAACAACATGTTATATGTACAGTTGTGTACACATAGGCATATACAAAATAATGCCAGCAACTGTTATGCGTCTAATGAACCATCCCAGTTTCTCATCTTCTAAACATAACGAATTACAAATTCAATTTGATTCATATGTTACTTCTTAGTCAAAAGAGTAATTACATAAAATGAATAAATCAACACTTAATGAGCCAAAGAGTGGAACTTACTGCAATTAACAGACTTAAGAACCGGAACTTGACTTTTGGACCCACACTTGCTTCTGTATTTGTCAAGTAATTCACAAAACTAACAAGTTAGCACATGTGACAGACTGACAGCTTGGGAGAATTATTATTGCATCTTTAGGCTAAATTTCGAGCTCAGGAAATGATAGGGGAAGGACAAATATACAAATGGAAATTAATTTGTTTTTGGTTTCACATTGAAAAGTTTAAAGGAATATAAAATTGAATTAAAGTTAATAATTATATTTTACCTAAAAAAGTTTGTCTTTATATATATAAGAAATACTTAAATAAAAGGAGTTTAAACAAAGATTTAAAAATAATTTATTCAATTTGAAGCAATTTTTACTCCCCCCCCATCTTTCCTTCCAGATTTACGGTACTCTCCTCAGTTTTTTAGGGAGAAATAATTTTCCTTCTCATGTTTTCCCTAGCAATTTCCATGTTCCAAAAAGACCCTAGATAAATCCATTACTCAAAGAAAACATACCTCATGGGCAACATATCCAGGGCCTCCTCTTCTTGAGGGTCTCCCTTCCCCATACACAGTGTTGTCAGTGTCCTTTGTGTTATGTGCTGGACCACGGCGACCAGCATATCTGTATGTACCTACATTAATCAATAAAAGCTATCAAAGTTAAGACCCTAATAGAGTAAATGTAAATATATATTGCCCCTATAAAAGCAACTACAAAATGCACTATCATGTTCCATAGATAAAACCAACCATTATTATCAACAGAATGAGAACTTCGTCCACCTGTGTTTTTGAACTCCCCACTACGTGTGCTTAGTCCATGCCCATCACTTTTTGCTTCCATAGAACTTCCTACAAAATCAGTACAAGAAAACACACAAAATTTAAGAAAATCATATACCTCGACCATCTATTATTAACCACATGTATGAACTATTTGTATCATAAGAGAGCAAAGAAACTATGAAGTGTTTTATCTCTTCCACCCGACACAAACAGCGCCTCTCAAGAAAATTCCCCAAAATAGAATGCTACTCTTGATGTCCCTAAATAGCATTTATTGTTTCCTCTTTAGTTTGTCAATATATCAAGTCCCCTAATTTTGTAAAAAAGAAGTTGTTGCTATACTTCACTACCCTCAATTCATATAACTACCCACCAGCAGTAATTACTCAGAATCACATATCACAGAGGCAACCTTGGAAAACAAGCAATCTATTCAGAACAAATAATGCCCAGTCAAAACATGATCCTTATTCAGGGCAAAAGGAGCAACTAACTAATAGCTACATTTAGAAATAAGAATACCTCCAGAAAAATCTTGAACTTGAGTAGATTGAGAGGCAGATGATGGTGAATATTCTTCATTTGCTTGTGAATGATCGTGACGTCGAAGTGGAGTCCAAACACCACGATCTGGCCTATCCCTACTCCGTGTACGTCTTTCCATGTGGACATTGTGTGAATCGCTACCTGCAAACTTATCCACAGGTGACCCATTACAATCCTTTTGAGACAATTGCGTACTCTGAGGTGCCCTAGGAGGTCTTTTATCATTGTCTTGGATTTGTGGTTCAGTTAGAGAGGCAGATGGTGACTGATTCTGGCGAGCATCCTTGAGAAGTATACTTCTGATGATCCTTCCACTGGCCTCACGTCGCTGGTTTGGCCTAGAAGCATATGAACTAACTGAATTCTTGACAAGAGGTGCAACACTTTGCTGTACTGATGGAGCAAATGGAACCTACACATGAAACAAGTAACAACTTTCAAAGCAGCTACATTTCCATTTCAGAGATGTGTTACCCAAACGATCATAATGCTTCCTAGCTCCTATTTGCTTTTCAACCATGACTAAAGTATCACTAAACCACACAGTTTAAGAAAATGCATTGGGTTGATAAATTAATCAAAACTTTTAAACTTTACCAACATGCACTCGTTAAAAATCACACTCCCATTTATGTTCCTTTTTGGAGGAAGGGAATATTAAATAATATAAGAAGTGTGTAGTGGGTAAAAGTATCTAATGCGCATAGATTTTATAGGTGAAGACAATAGGTGAAAAAGGACCAGGAAAATTGGAGAATGTAGAAAGATAAGAAGGAAGGGAGTAATCTATACAATATTTATATCAATGATGCATGTGAATGAATGATAAGATGTTATTTGTGAAATGTTTCAGAGAAAACATTGAAGACATTGTGAATGCAATAACAGATACTAGGATATTTTTACTTGGACTGTTTTCAGACCAAACTTGGACAGTTATAAAATACGCAAAGACCAAACATTTACCAGACTAGACTAGAAAATTTCAGTCCAAGTAAAAACATCCTTATTACTCGAAATGAACCCACTCACATTAGGAATTTCTTTTTCTTTTCCCTTCAAGAGTAAGATTCTCTTCTTCCCGCTATCATCTAATACAGGACCTCCTGATACAAGTTCAGTCATTTTATTAGACTCATTTTGATATAGGCAGGACAAAATACAAATGGTAAACTGCACACCCATGTAGATGAAGTGAAAGAATGTTCAACAGAGATATATTAAGTAGGTGGATTCGAGTTCAGAAAAACAAAAAATGAGCTCCAAGAAAAACCCAGGTTTCAAAATCAGAAGAGGGATACAACCTTCCTCTTGAGCTGCAGACACTGAAGTACCAGATTTGTCAAAGAGTTGTTTGTCATCATGTTTACGGACCAGAATGTATGCTCTGTCCTTCGGACTTTCAAACTTGGAACTGTCCCGTTGAACATACTGTGAATTAGGAGGTTTCATTAGCTATAAAATAATGAGTAGAATCAACTCATCAAATATCTAAGAGGTAAATACCAAAAAAGAAAAAAATGCACACATTAAAATAAGTGTATTTGGAACAAGAGTGTTTAATACGCTTGTATGTCTTGTGGAAATAAAAGCAACTAAGTAATAAACATCCAAGGAAATTTTTTTACTAGCGCTTGCTCTTAGATTGATTGTATGACTAATAACTTACAATTGTCTATTTTCAATAAATTCATCACATAGAAAGCGCAAAACTGCATACCATTTTTGTAGAATTCCTCCTCCTTTCTGATCCCCGTTTAGATGCAATGGAGCTGGGGCTTCCTGCTGATGTTCCTCCAACCCTTCTGAATGATTTTCCATTGGGAACCCTCTGTCAATGATTAGGTGATAATAGATTATTTGAATCTTGTAACATTTCAAGAAGCTACAATATTCAGACTGCATTCATTAATGCTATAATATTCCTACTTCGGTTTGGCAAAATTATTAATAAGTGGTTGAAAAAGTAAAAGTTGTGGTTGAGATCTGAGCATAATAAAGTGAAATGTTGTAGACCGCATATCTCTTTCCAAGAAAGGAAATGTCACTTTTTTGGGACTAACAGGTAAAATGGGACGGAGGAGTAATATAAACTGTCATCAGCACATAATCAAATTTACAGATAATACTGAACAGAAATTGAAGAATTCAGTTAGCTTAGATATTACTACAAAATATCCTACCCGAGCCCCACTCTTTGCAGCTCGTTTCTGACGCACATAATCCATTAAGGGAGTAATTATAGGAGCATCTTTAGGAGCACCTGAAAACCAAAAGGAAAAATTACTTCCCCATCTTGAATTTATAATTTATCAGTCATTTTAAAGCTGGCCCAAATTAAGTTGGGATTGGGGTTAGCTAAGTGTATCTCATCTTAATTAGATAGCAACTGGGTGCATGTTCTAACTAACCTGCACGTTCAGCTTCCTTCCTCTCCAACTGAATCTCTGCACTAGGAAGATTCTCAACAGGCTTCCCAAGATATTCTAGGAACTCCAGATAGTCAGGATCTACAATTCATCACTAAGTTATGTGTTGCTACAGAAATGAAATAGCTAGCACATATGCCACACAAATCTCTAACACATATAAATACCTTTCAAAATAGTCCCTTCACGACCATCTTTCTTAGACGAATGCCTTGGAACACGTTGTGAAGGGGCATACTCAACAATAGTTTTGAACTGAGACCCTGTTACCAAAAGAGTGCAATAGAAACAAAGACAACTTAGAACTGCATTTTCAAAATTAGTTGTAAATACAGGGAGGAAAGTAAACATAAGACAGCAATCAAGACCAAACTGAAAGATAGTTATTAATTAATCACTTTTAATATAAAGCTAGACGCAATACCTTTTTCATTAACAAAGACGTGTCCACTGAAGAACTCTGCAAACTCAATAACATCTTCAGGAGTGTTAAAGTCAATATATGCTCTTGAATAAGTTTGATGCTTTTGGCTGCAATGTAACATAAAGAGGAAACTTATGTAAGCAAAAACTTTTCAACTTCTACCTCTGTCCCTCTAAGATTAATACAAGAGGGCGTGGTGCGCTTATTAAGAGAAGTGGAGTTCTGTGGTTGATATCGAATTGGTAAAGTGTGAATGAAGTACGAATGAATTAAAAAGGGAATCCAGGTGCACATTTGGCATCCCCACAAGGCGAGGGTCCGGGTAAGAATCCCACCACAAGGGTGGATAAGGAGCAAGCCTTCCCTTGTCATTTTGACAAAAGGCCGCTCCCAAGATTTGAACTTGTGACCGAGAGCAACACCGTAACCAGTGCGCCAACATTCCCCTTCAAAGTAAGAATGAAATATTACCAAATATGGTATGAGACAAAAGTTAGTGGGACGGACAACAAAAGTAAAATGGGACAGACATCATGGGACAAGAGGGAGCATGCCATAAGCACCTAATAGTTACAAATTAAGTATAAACAAACCATATGCTATCAAAATGATACAACTATAACACACCATTATGAAGGTGCCATGAACCAAACTCAAAATTTGCAGTACGCAAAGTTTAAAAGAAAATAATTAATAACTATAAGGGTATCACTTAATTACAATCAAACCGCTAAGACCATCCTACGCTCATTTTTATTTTTACAGTTCTCATAAAATGTCAAAGGCCATAAGAGAGGAGAACTTTAAGAGAAATGTGTATGAAGGGTGAGATATTGTCAACAAATGACAATGAACATCACAATAGAATCATTTGTCAAATATTTACACAAATAAGCTTAAAAAGGTGAGCTCTCTCGTGTGTTCAGTATCAGTAAATTGACATACAACTCAAAATATATAAAAGGAAATTATACTTTTAAACATTAAATCAACCACCACGAACATGCAGGAATCAAAGCATCAATGATGCTGGAAAAAGCAGGTCGTGAAGGATGGTTGTATACACTGGATGATAAATGATAATGCTTACTGTTCAGCTAAATTAAATAGATATGCTTGCTCAAATAGAACCTGGTCACATCCATTAACCAAAAACGACTTGGCACCATTTAACATTTTAACTACTTCTAATTCTTATCGTCAAAAAACTATTTCTAATTCATAACAAACTACAAATGGCTACGAAATCATGGATGAGTAAGTGTTGTTTTTTATGACACAATGCGATTTCCTGAGAAATATGAAAGTAGGATGATGACGGAAACTAGAGCGATGTGTTTCTAAAAGATAGATGTAAGAATACAAAAAAAACATTAATGCATTGACGAAATAAAAGTCCAGATCAAAATGCAGAAACCTGCACCAAAAACACCATCCTATTCCTTTACATGAAAAGTAAAAAGGCATGTCAACGTGATAAATCTGTAACATAAACTACCAGGAGCAATGACTTGGAGAAGTGCAAGAAATAAATAAACTAACAAATAGCGTACTTCATTATTACCATATATACAACCCAAAGGCATATATCCCAATTCCATTTTGATAGTATTTTTTATATTCTTACCCCCAGGCCTCATCATACACCCAAAAAACACAATGTCATCTCCCCTGCACTCAAACCCAAGTCTTAAAAACATTCAGCAATAAAAAGTGCCAAACTAAAACAAATATGACAATCATAGACCCCATGCTCCACCCAAATAACTAAAATTAAGGCGGCATCATTCACAAATAAATAAATAAATAAATAAATAAATAAATAAATAAATAAATAAATAAATAAATAAATAAATAAATAAATAAATAAATAAATAAATAAAAAACACGGTTTGCTCAAACAGGAGGCCTTCTAACCTGGTTTTGCCGGGACGAAAGGAGGACCAGTTGTAGCGACCAGAGAAGCGAGAATCGATTTGCTCAAACAGCGCGGACTGTGTAAGCGCCGGCGGCAAGTGCCGCAGCACAATCTTTGTCCGATCTAACGGACCCTTCATGCGCAACAATTAAGACTCCGAAACCCTAGACGAGCCAGAAAGCACGTAATCGGCTGTGGAAAAAAATCGCAGAAAATCAATTAACGTTAAGCTCTAAGAAAATCGCATCTTGTTAGCGGCGGTGATCACAAAGCTTTGGTGCCCTAATTTCAAAGTGGAACGGCCGGCCATCCGCAAGAGGAGTCGATCAGAGAGGCTTTAGAGAGCGAAAGCGGTGCAGGGAATAGAGGGAGGAAGCAGCAGGATTGAGTGTATATATTTGCGTGCGCGCGCGGCCGTACATACGTTGTTGTAGTTTGTCACAGCTTCCGTAGCATTTCCTCGTCTGAATTGTGAAATAGCGCTGCAAATACGAACCTCCGCTGCCAATTTTTTCCATACTTCACATTTAGAATTGGGTGAGGAGTCAGGACTCTATAGGCTGGATTTCATAAGGGTTGTTCATAAAAAGAAAAACAAAAAAATTGCATTTTATACAAAATAAAAGTCTCATTTATAAATTGAAATCGACTATGACTATGTATGTTGAAAAAAATTGCATGTTATACAAAATAAAAGTCTCTTATATAAAATTGAAATCGACTATGTATGTTGAATTGATCGAATCTACTTAATTATTAAAAAAATAAAAAATATGTTTATTTATAAAATAAATAGAAAATTACTTTAGAAATAACTAAGATGATCATTTACAATAATTTTAATCAAAAAAATAAATTAAAACTTATATATTGTTAATATTACACAATTTGATATGCGACATAAAAAGTTACATATTTAATAAAAATGTTCACTAATAAGGTTGGTAAATTGAAAATAAGAGTTATCAATCAAGCTATAATTCAACAATTATATTCTTATTGTGAGTACAACTAGTATATTTTTTTTACTATCAACTACATACTATACTTTAACTTGTCCCTTCTTATACCGGTCCATTTGTATTAAACTTTTCTAATACGTATTTTTAAGTCCGGTATAATCTGTACTAGTGTTATTTAGAATGTATGAACTTAGTAAATTGTATTATTATGTGTGTTTTATGATAATCATGTTGGTATATAAAGTTCTAATATCTTTTTGTGCAAGTCTTCGATGGGGTAATCGTTCTTTGTAAGTAGAACAAAAGTTATCAATTTACTCTATGGTATAATTTTAAGGGAGTGTTTGCAATTGCTTCAACTTTAAAAAAGTGATTTTTTAAAGTGATTTGGGGAAAAGTGATTAATAGTGAAAGTTGGTAGTGTTTGAAGAAAAAGTGATTCTGAAAAAGTAAAAGTTGGTAGTGTTTGGTAAAATAAGTACTTTTTATGTAATAGAAAAAGTGAAAAGCAGTTTAAAGCACTCTTTCACCTGCTTCCAGCTTTTAGCTTTTAAGTGATTAATTTAAGCACAAGCTGTCATTTGAAAACACTCTTTTTGACTTATTCTAAGCCAAAAGCTGAAAAGTGTTTTTTTTAATCAACTGCAAACACTCCTTAAGTAATACGAGTAAATATTTTTAAGTGTCAAGCTAGAACTCCTAGAAGTCTTTAAACATTGTAGTTGACAATTATATGTCTATCGCTGAAGAAAGTATTTTAGAAAGTCTGTCTAAATTTGTTATACAGGAGACCTTCTTTTAACATGTTCTTCTTTCTTAACAAACACTGATAATAATTTAAATTCTCTTTTGGAACCTTGTTTTCATGTTTTCTCCTATGGTCAACTTTCTGTTTTCAGTTCTTTTATATCTTTTTCACTCATTCCCTTAAAATTAGTTTTTTACTCATATTTGCTATAGTTAATAACAAATTTCCTTTGGGAAAATTGATAGTAATAATCCCAACTATTGATGGTTCGCCTATAATAATCGCAACTATCGATTATTTCAGAATAATCCCAGCTTTAGGGACCTTCCGCCAATAATGGTCCCTATAAATAAATTCTCGTAGTTTCTAAAGTGGATGAGAAGAGATATAACAAGTAATCCCTATAAATAATAATCCGAACTTTTAATTTTACGCTTAATTTCTATTTAAAATTCACTTTTTATAGGAGGTAATATCTGGTCATGGACCATTATTGGCGGATGGTCCATATAGTTGAGATTATACAAAAATAATCAATAGTTGAGATTATTATCGGCGGACCATCAATAGTTGGGATTATTATTTTCAATTTTTCCATTTCCTTTTGACCTTATTTGGCCAACTTTATTCTCGATTTTAGTTTTTACTTTTGGTTGTTTTGTGTAAAGTATTGCATTTCATTTATACATATTTGAACTATAATTGTATTTCATCTACGCTAGAATCAAATCACATTAAGATTTGAACTAGCTTTCACTTAATTACACTAAAGCTAAACTATAATTACGCTATAACCACACTTTATTTATATTTTAAACATGCATTTTAATTGTAATCCATTTACACAACAAATTGATGATTTCACCATCTTGTTTGTTGCATTTATATGTATCTTATGTTAAGATTTCGGATTTCATTCTAAGAGATTGACTTTATAGAAGCAGTGGTCTAAAATCTAAATACTTTGTACATTATTAGTTCATATTTTATCGGCGTAGGAAATACTTCAACATCCCCTCATGACCAGAGACTTGTTTGGATCGTGCAGGCATCCATTGTTTACTAGTTCGTTATAATCGTTGTCATTTTCATAATAGTCATCGTTTTTCATACGGGAACCCCACCATGATTATGGACTAGTTTGACTTGATGTCATGTTAGGGTTAAAAGATCAACCTTATAGGAAGAATAACCTCAGATCCCATTGTAATACTTTATTACTTCATATTTTACTCGGAAACACCTCAATACATTACCATTTCATTTGCATGTTTTAAAAACGGGAATCAAACCTAAAGGCTGGAGCACATCATTACTCATCATACTTCTGTTACCGAACTTGTAACTTTGAAGACTTGATAAATATATTTTTTGGTACTAGTACATGTGTGTGAGCATACAACTATACAAGTGTACCATATATAATTGCCATAATTGGTATATACATAGTACGAAGTATTAGTTTACCTACTCATGATTCTTTGTTGATGCATATGATTTCACCACCATATGTCATAAAGGAGGGGTTTCGTTTGTCCATGTCTAAACAATCATGAAATAACAATAAAAATAAAAATGAAATAATAATTCAAAAATCTCAAACTTGCAAATGTATGAGCTCAATACATCAAATATGCTTATGTAAACTAAATAATTTGAGATTTAAATTATATTGAGTTTGAATTATTTTTTTCACAATGGAATTTTAAGTTGTTGAGTGAATCATCTTAAATGTTATAGGTGTTTAAGTTCTTCTGTGATATATACTTGAGTTAACATCTCTCAAAGAATGTGTTTATAAATTTAAGGTGATCAGGTAGTTTTTATCATAAAATCCATGACATTTATATCAAACATGTAACTTTGAAGTACATAAATAAACCCCCTCCAACATTTAGTATATTTAAAATGATATTCTCTTAGTGAAGAATACTTTCTATGAAATGCACTAAACTAGCTTAATTGAAGCATATTGTTTTTTATAAGAATTTATGCATCACATAGACTGCTAATATGTTTGATTACCTTGTATCTACATTAAAACAAAACAAAAATCGCTTTTTACGAACATACATTAACAAAATATTAAAGCATGTTGCAAAATATAGTTTTTCGAATAATATTTTTATTGTAAACATTAGTAAAATAAAGCATACACCACCCTTGTATACCTAAATAACATAACATTCATTTATTTAACAATACACAAAATCCAGACATGTTAATTAAGTCTCTTGATGTGCACACTATCACCTCCAACAATATCACTGGGAAGAAAACTGAATGACATACATCCTAGTGATCGATATGTGTGACATTATTAGTAGTGACAATCACCCAAATATACCTCCTTCATTAACAATACATAGCAAGTTGGGCTTCTCCTTAATCCCTATCAAGTTTTCGACATAACATTGACAGGGGTGGCATAACCATAATTTTAGTCTTTGGGCATTTGAATGAATAGGTATAAAAGTGATTGTGTAATCTTCTTTTTATGTAATAATAAACAGGTGCACTCCCACATTGAAGGATAAAATAACACATTTGAAAAAACATTTCATGTGTTCAAACACGAAATCAATATTGCACCCGAGCACTACAATTGCATGTAGGTAATAGACAAATCAACATTAGTAAGAATGGACATGTATTAGCATTGAAGATATAACCATAAGAAGTGACACATATGAAAAAACTTTGTGGCTTCATAATATCTAAGACATGCCGTGTGGATTCCGTTGAGATTCAGTACAACCCACTCAATTCTCTGTTAGTTAAAGGAGAAATATGAGACTTTGACAACGTGTAATAGTTCTTAGACAAAATCTGGACTAGTATTACTTTCGGCTTTAGTCGATAGTTTGGAGAAAAAATCTGGGCAACCATATATTTAAGATATGGGAATGCACCCAATTTTGATCGCTTTTCAAATTTGGTCCCATTCTAAAACTGTGAAGATGTGAAATGAAGTCTCTGTACAAGTTATGAGATCAGGAGAAATTAGAAAAAACTGAAACTCATTTCACATCTTTACAGTTTTAGAAAGGGACCAAATTTGAAAAGCGATCAAAATTGGGTGCAGTTCCATATCTTAAATATATGGTTGTCCAGATTTTCTCTCCAAACTATCGACTAAAGCCGAAAGTAATACCAGTCCAGATTTTGTCTAAGAACTATTACGCGTTGTCAAAGTCTCATATCTCCCCTTTAACTAACAGAGAATTGAGTGGGTTGTAACCGAATCTCAACGGAATCCACCTGGTCTGTCTTAGATAATATGAAGCCCCAAAGTTTTTTCATATGTGTCACTTCTTATGGTTATCTTCAATGTTATTACACGTCCATTCTTACTAATGTTGACTTGTCTATTACCTACATGCAATTGTAGTGCTCGGGTGCAATATTGATTTCGTGTTTGAATAGATGAAATGTTTTTTCAAATGTGTTATTTTAGGGAAAATGGAAACTAATAATCCATCCTTTCAGCAGTCTTCTTACAATAGTCCCACCTTTTCATTTTTCAAGAATAATCCAACTTTTGCACCTCATCTTCATTCATTGGTCCGTGACCGGTTAGTGACCTGCTATTCCAAGTTATTTTCTTATCTTTGCAAAATATTATCTTTGTGAAAGGTGAGATTTATTGTATAATGGTTTGCAAAGATAAGAAAATAACTTGGAATAACAGGTCATCAACCAGTCAGGGACCAATGAATGAAGATGAGGTGCAAAGGTTGGATTATTCATGAATAACGAAAAGGTGAGACTATTCTAAGAAGACTGCTGAAAGGTTGGATTATTAGTTTCGATTTTCCCGTTATTTTATCCTTCAATGTGGGAGTACACCTGTTTATTATTACATAAAA